GGTCCCCTGTGGGGACATCTCTTGGCGTCTCCTTGGGGACATCTCTCGGCGTCTCCTTGGGGACGCCTTTGGGGACATCTCTTGGCATCTCCTTGGGGACACCTTTGGGGACATCTCTTGGCATTTCCTCGGGGACGTCTCTTGGCATCTCTTTGGGGACACCTTTGGGGACATCTCTTGGCGTCTCCTTGGGGACATCTCTTGGCGTTTCTTCGGGGACGTCTCTTGGCATTTCTTTGGGGACGCCTTCGGGGACATTTCGGGACATCTCTTTGGGGACGCCTTCGGGGACATCTCTTGGAATCTCCTTGGGGACCCCTTTGAGGACATCGCGTGGCATTTCCTCGGGGACGTCTCTTGGCATCTCCTTGGGGACGCCTTTGGGGACATCTCGGACCATCTCCTCGGGGAACCCTTTGGGGACATCTCTTGGCATCTCCTTGGGGACGCCTTCGGGTACCTGGGTGGACCCTTGCCCGGGGACCCCTTTGGGGACCCTGTTGGGGACTTTGAGCACCTCCTTGGGGACCCCTTGGGGACCTTCTCCAGGGACGCCTTTGGGGACATCTCTGGCCACCTCCTCGGTGACCCTTTTGGGAACCTCTTGGGACATTTCTCTGGGGACGTCTTGGGACACTTTTTCGGGTCCCCTTCTGGGCACTGCCCCGAGGAGGTCACGGGGACCCTCTGCGGGGACGTCCCTGGGGACGTCTCGTGGCACCTCTCTGGGGACACCTTTGGGGACATCTCTTGGCACCTCTCTGGGGACCCTGCTGGTGACCCCTTTGGGGACATCTCTGGGGACGTCCCTTGGCACCTGCCCGGCGATTCCTTTGGGGACATCTCTGGAGATCCCTTCGGGGATGTCCCTTGGCACCTCGGTTGCGACCCCTTTGGGGACGTCCCTTGACGCCCTTTTGGGGACATCCCTTGAGGCTCCTCTGCTCCCCGCTCTGGAGACCCCTTTGGGGACATCTTTGGGGACGTCTCTTGGCACCTCCCCGCGTCCCCTCTTAGGGTGCCGCCCTGGGTGGCCCCGGCCAGCTGAGGGGTGACCGCGGGGGTGTCCCCGAGGGGGTCCCCGAGAACCCCGGCCACCGGAGCCACCTCCTTCTTGGGACCCACGGCCACGGGGACGCCGACGCCCGGGAAGGGGGACTCTGGCGGGAGTCCCCAAGGACCCCCCGGGGGAAAACCCTCCCTCGGGGACATCCCGGGTGCTGTCCCTTGTGTCCACGGGGACGTCCCCGGTGCCCCGGGTGCCGTCACATCTGTCCAAGGTGCCCACGGAGATGTCCCTCGTGTCCCTGGCACCGTCACGGCTGTCCCAGGGGACGTCCCTTGTGACGAAGGTGACATCTCTTGTGACAAAGGGGACGGCTCTCCTGTCCACGGTGCCAAAGGGGACGTCCCTTGTGCCCCAGGTGCCACCTCTCGTGGGGTAGGTGACATCTCTCGCGTCCATGGGGACGTCTCTGGTGCCACAGGAGACGTCCCGTGTCCCCTGGGCGCCGTCTCTCGTGCCAAAGGGGACATTTCGTACGCCCAAGGGGACGTCCCATCTCTCGTGGGGTAGGTGCCATCTCTCGCGTCCATGGGGACGTCCTTTGTGCCCCAGGTGCCATCTCTCGTGGGGTAGGGGACATCTCTCGCGTCCGCAGGGACGTCTCTGGTGCCACAGGAGACGTCCCGTGTCCCCTGGGCGCCGTCTCTCGTGCCAAAGGGGACATTTCGTACGCCCAAGGGGACGTCCCTCGTGCCCCGGGTGACGTCTCTGGTGTAGGTGCCGTCTCCCGTGCCCATGGGGACGTCTCTGCCGCCAAAGGGGATGTCCCTCGTGCTGAAGGTGACATCTCTTGACCCCGTGGGGCCACTTCTGCCGCCAACGGGGACATCCCTTGTGTCCTGGGCACCGTCTCTCCTCTCAGAGGTGACATCTCTTGTCCCCACGGGGACGTCCCTGGTGCCAAAGGGGACCTCTCCAGTGCCGAAGGTGCCACCTCTCCCGTCAGCGGTGGCCTTTCTTGTCCCCATGGGGGCATCTCTGGTGACAAAGGGGACGTCCCTGGTGTCCCAGGCACCATTTCGGGTGTCAAAGGTGACATTCCTTGTCCCCATGGGATCTGGAGTGCCGAAGGGGACGTCCCTTGCGCCCCGGGTGCCACCTTTTGTGTCACCGGTGGCATCTCTTGGCCCCACGGCGCTGCCACTCGTGTCAGCGCTGCCATCTCTGGGGTCAGCGGTGGCTGCTCTTGTCCCCATGGGGCCATCTCCAGCGCCAAAGGGGACGTCCCTTGCGTCAACAGTGGCCTCTCTTGCGTCAGCGATGACCTCTCTTGTCCCCACGAAGCCACCTCTGATGCCAAAGGGGATGTCCCTTGCGCCCCGGGTGCCACCTCTCTTGTCAATGGTGACCTCTCTTGCGTCATCGAAGACTGCTCTTGTCCCCATGGGGTCTCCAATGCCAAAGGGGACGTCCCTTGCGCCCCGGGTGCCACCTCTCTTGTCAATGGTGACCTCTCTTGCGTCATCGAAGACTGCTCTTGTCCCCATGGGGTCTCCAATGCCAAAGGGGACGTCCCTTGCGCCCCGGGTGCCACCTCTCTTGTCAACGGTGGCCTCTCTTGTGTCAACAAAGACTGCTCTTGTCCCCATGGGGCCACCTCCAGTTCCAAAGGGGGCGTCCCTTGCGTCAACGATGACCTCTCTTGCATCAACAATGACCGCTCTTGCGTCAACGATGACCTCTGTTGTTCCCATGGGGTCTCCAGTGCCAAAGGGGACGCTTGTGTCACCGGTGGCCTCTCTTGAGTCAACAAAGACCTCTGTTGTCCCCATGAGGCCACCTCCAGTTCTAAAGGGGACGTCCCTTGCACCCCGGGTGCCACCTCTCTTGTCAATGGTGGCCTTTCTTGAGTCAAGGAAGACCTCTCTTGTCCCCATGGGGTCTCCAATGCCAAAGGGGACGTCCCTTGTGTCAACAGTGACCTCTCTTCTGTCAACAAAGACCGCTCTTGTCCCCATGAGGCCACCTCCAGTTCCAAAGGGGACATCCCTTGTGTCAATGGTGGCCTCTCTTGTCCCCATGAAGCCACCTCCAGTTCCAAAGGGGACGTCCCTTGCGCCCCAGGTGCCACCTCTCTTGTCAACGGTGACCTGTCTTGAGTCAACGAAGACCTCTCTTGTCCCCATGGGGTCTCCAATGCCAAAGGGGATGTCCCTTGTGTCACCGGTGACCTCTCTTGTGTCAATGAAGACTGCTCTTGTCCCCATGGGGCCACCTGCAATTCCAAAGGGGATGTCCCTTGTACCCCAGATGCCACCTCTCTTGTCAACAGTGGCCTCTCTTGCGTCAACGAAGACCGTTCTTGTCCCCATGGGGTCTCCAATGCCAAAGGGGACGTCCCTTGCGTCACTGGTGACCTCTCTTGCATCAATGGTGGCCTCTCTTGTCCCCATGGGGCCACCTCCAGTTCCAAAGGGGACGTCCCTTGCGCCCCAGGTGCCACCTCTCTTGTCAACGGTGACCTTTCTTGTGTCAACGAAGACCTTTCTTGTCCCCATGGGGTCATCTCCAACGCCAAAGGGGACGTCCCTTGCGTCAACGGTGGCCTCTCTTGTCCCCACGGGGCCACTTCCAGTTCCAAAGGGGACGTCCCTTGCGTCAACGGTGGCCTCTCTTGCGTCAACAAAGACCGCTCTTGTCCCCATGGGGTCTCCAACGCCAAAGGGGACGTCCCTTGTGTCAACGGTGACCTCTCTTGCGTCAACGAAGACCGCTCTTGTCCCCATGAAGCCACCTCCAGTTCCAAAGGGGACGTCCCTTGCGTCAACGGTGGCCTCTCTTGTCCCCACGGGGCCACTTCCAGTTCCAAAGGGGACGTCCCTTGTGCCCCGGGTGCCACCTCTCTGGTCATCGACGACCTCTCTTGTCCCCACGGTGCCACCTCATCTCGCCCCGCTGCCGCCCCCC